GGTATTCGCGGAGAATCAACGAATTCCTAACGTTCTCTCGTTTCTGGTATTCTGAGGAATCAACAGATCCAAGAAACCCTAGTTTTCCGGTATTCCGAAGAATCAACGGATCTCTAGTTCTATCCATTAAAGCTTCCACTACTTCAGTTGGTATCAGAGCTGCGTCTCTTTGATTTCTCAATCGAAGAACGATTATGGTGATCATGTTGAGTGGTAACTTTTATCCTTTTGCAGAAGAAAGTTTGTTTGAAGATAGTTACAGAGAAATCTACGGTGATCATATCTATGATATCTATGAAGATGATGCCTTGGTTATTGATCATGTAGATTTTGTGTTCAACGATGGTGCGTTCGAGAAAATCTGTGCAGAATTCGAGCAAGATGTGATATGTGCAGAATTCGTGAAAGATACTCATCGTGCAAAATTCGGGTCAAATCGCGTTCATGCAAATTTCGTGTCAAACCAGGTTCGTGCAAAAATTGGGTCTGATGAGATTCGTGCAAAAATCGGGGAAAATCTAGAGATGGAGATAAAGATGGATCTGCGAAGATCTTCTATGCTGAAAACTTTGTTGAAGATTCGAGGGCGAATCTTTCTTGGTCGGCGAAAGCTGATGCAGCGCAGATACAAGATTCGAGGACGAATCTTTTCTTGGCCGGCGAGACCTGATGCAGCGTAGAATTAGGATAATTCCCATTTATTTATATTTTAATTATATTATTTATTTTAGTCTTTATCTTTTAGTGTTCTAGAATATTCTAGGGTTTTCTTATGTTTTATTATAAATAAGCCGTTAAGGCCTCCTTTTGTATGCAGTTGATTGATTAATAAAATTAAAGAGTTTTTAGCTTTTCAGAGAAGAGTATTCTCTAGTCCTTGTTTTCGGTAGATCTCGAGAGATCTTAACGATTATAAGAAGACATAGGATTCGGTATTCGCGGAGAATCAACGAATTTTTAACGTTCTCTCGTTTCTGGTATTCTGAGGAATCAACAGATCTGAGAAACCCTAGTTTTCCGGTATTTTGAAGAATCAACGGATCTCTAGTTCTATCCATTAAAGCTTCCGCTACTTCACCATGGCTCGTTTTAATTACAAATGAAAGACATTTACAAAAGCTAAATGCAAATCCTGGGTAGAAAACAATATAAAAGTAGAGAAATTAACATGCAAATCCAAATGTAAAATTCATAATTTTGAAAACTAAGAAGAAATTGTGGAATAGAAAATTGGATGAATATGGAAACTTCAATTTCTTTTACTCGATTGAAGTCGCAGGAAACGGCAATCAGAAAAATAATGTTGTTTCATTGTTTAAGAGGAGAGGAAAATGGCTAATCTTGTGATCGTGGGTAAAAAACAGTTGAATTGATTTATTTTTTCTGTCCGATTTTTTTTTATCAGATAATAAAGTGAAAGAGCAAGAATTGAGACTTAAGCCATATGGCAGATGGAGAGGATTGCAGTTATTGTAAAAATGACCGTTGATTTAGTATAATTAGAAATTAGATGTTTGATGAATATGAGGTTTTTCCTCCGTCAATTTATTTTTGTTTTTATTTTTGTTTCTGCAATTTGGAGAATAAGAGCTGAAAATTTTCAAAGAATCGGACCTATTTATGAAGCTCATTCATGAGCATAAATGTGAGTCCAGTTGCTTCTCTTTGCACCAAACAAAACCGAAAAATACGGACCGATCGAATCACCGAATTACCGAATTACCGAATTCTTTAAAAAATTTCATAAGTTTTTAAATTTTTGAACATTTTCTACTTTTTTGGTCTCAACAGAACCGAAATTTGTCAAATACTAGATTTTAACCCGCGGTACACCGCGGGGCTATATTTTCTTAAAAAAATCAAAATGTAATTTGTTTGATAGATTATTTTGATTGTTAATTTTAGGATTTCACCCGTGGTATACTATCTTTTATAAATATCAACCCAAACCCGTCCCATCATATTACCCGTCCCGTGAAATTAAACATCATTTAGTTATTTTTCTTTTTAATAATACTTTTATTTAAAAGCTATATAATTCAAGTCAATTTAAAAATTTCTTTTAAATGGTTCCCATAAGATATATATACATATATATTAAATTTGTATAGAGTTGAAATAATATTAATATTACAAACTTTTTATATAATTTAAATATTATAAATATTTTTAAAAATATGCAATATATATTTTTTGTTATTGAATAAGAGGATATTATGTGTAAGAAATGTAGAAAATAAGAGTTTAATATTTTTATTATGGAGTCGCAAGAAAAATCTTTTATTTCTATACATGTTATTCGCTTATTAATAATAAAAGAAAACAAATCCTTTAAATTAGATATTAACTAAAATAAACGCACCATAATTACTTATTAAGTAACAACCAATAAATTTCACCAAAAATAGGTAACAACCAATAAATTCTAAACGCAGTAATTAAAGAATGAGATATTAAAAAAAAATATCAAATAAGATATAAGAATCTTAAAATAATTGAATATCTAAATAATTTAATTGTTAGTGTCGATTTTAATGCCTTCATTAATGTGGATTTTTTTTTTTACAGAGAAATATTTCCTAAAGATTATCACATTAATGACTCAGAAAATTAAGGAAGATATGAATTTATGATTCTCGAAATCGTGTTGGTAATATCTTTAATTAATATTTTTCAAATTTAAATAATTAATGCCAATGGCATTCATCCGTAAATACATTCCAACTCCAGGATTTATTTGCTAAAAGTCATCCAAAAATGTATATATAGATACCGAAAATACCAAATATTCGACTACAACTTAGGCTCTAAATGATTACCCACCAAATGAATGAGATGAAAACAAATTGATGAAAAAAATTGAGATGAATAGTTTTCATCATGTCCATCTCTTGTAGAGTTGATGAAAACTTTTCTCTTTATTCTCTTCTTTGTTCATCTCATTAGAGATGAAAGAGATGAATAATTGATTTAACACTTTCATCTCAAATGGTAAAATTTAAGATGAATCTAGTTTTCATCCAATTTTTTTCATCTAGTGATGCAACCATTTACAGCCTTATTTTAGGTGAACCGAACCGAACTTTTCAAAAGTTTGTAAGGTCAAAAAGTTGGGTTCTATTGGAGTTACAAAGTCTTTATATCGGAACATATATTCCTCCTTTCTTCCGGTGAATTTACCAAACTAAAGCCACACTTCACCACCTCGCAATCTTCGATCGCTTCCATACCATCTGTCACTTCAAACTCAATATAGGTTTCAGTACAAACACATTTCTCTTCATCGTCATCTTCACTTATTTTGTTGATATCCAACCTACTTGTAAAGCCAATAAAGACATGAGACGACACAAGCTTCCGTGGTGTGTCACTTGGTTCGCTCCAACCTCCAACAGTCCAGCTAAAGCGCTGACTAGACCCGTATTCATTCTTGAACTCACAATTACATTTTAATAAGACACGTTTCCTCTGGTTGTGGTAGCCATCAAATAAGATAACAGCGCATAGACCAATCCCAGTAAACTTGTTGTCACACCAGTGTGCAGGCAGCTTGGGCTTTAACACCGATCCAGAGGCTTGGTGACTGAACCACGCTGGTACTTCCCAACCAGGAAAACAAGTTCCAATCAAAGCTTCCGAAACTAAACCCTGCAAAAGAGATTACCAAAACAAGATCAGATACCACAGATGCAGCAAGGAAGACTGGAAATTGATAGAGAGAAATAGATATACCCCATTGTATTGAGTGAGTTCATCTCGCACTAACTGGCTTCTCCGCAGAGTATAGGATATGATACTATCCTTTGCGTCTTGATCCAACTTGTTGCAGTTGGTAAAACTGAAGGTGGCATGGATTTGATCAGACAACACCGAAAAGGCTATAGGATCTGCAACTCTTTTCAGTGAATCACAGCCATGTGCATCAAAGTACTGTAGTTTTGGTGGAAGCATCGGAACAGATCTCAGCTTCGTGCAATGCTTCACGTCAAGCCATTTCAGATTATAAAGTTTCCCAATGTCAGGTTGCAGGCTGACAAAATCATTTCCACTCAAACATAGATGTCGCAGTGACGATACTCTGTTAACAGCACATGGCCATTCTGTCATGGATCCTAGAGTTTGTAAGAACATATCTGCAGAAGCTGGGCCTTCGGATCCAGTGAAGCATGAGATGCTTGGCATCTCTTTTGCTCCTGTCCCATCGAAAAGTAAAGTGTGGAGATGTTTTAAGCTATTCCTGACATCCGGAAGATTCTTAAGCCTTGAACAACCAGAGAGTATTAGCTTGTCAAGAGCTTTCAGGTTGCCCAGACAATTGGGAAGACACGCCAACATTTTGCAATTTTTCAAATTCAACACGACAAGCCTCTGGAGTTTCTGTATAGCCTGAGGAAGTCCTTTGATTGCTGTGCCATCCAAATGTAGAAATTCTACACTTTCTGAAATTAGCTGAAATTCCTCTAGGTTTGAGCAATCACTGAGGATGAGTGTTTTCAGAGAGATTAAATTCACCTCCGGAAGAGAACAAAGACGTATGCATCCTCTTAGATTCAGGAAAACAAGAGACTTCATATTTTGAATCTCCAACGGAAACTCATCCAAACTCGTGCACCCTTCCAGATTTAGTCTTTGAAGATTTTCAGCCTTTGACAGTGCTGACAAGTCGAGCAGCTCACTTGAGTGGCTTAGATCTACCCACTTCAACCGTGGTGTATCCTATCAAAATTCAACAAGATCAAAAATATTTACGCCATCTAATGAAAACATATATGCAAAAAGATGGCACACAAAGACATACCTTTTCGCCTTCCCAAACTCGTGTAATCTTGCTGTATGGCAGCCTAAGGTCAACAAGATTCTCGGGTCTGAAGTCTGGTGGAAGCTCCTCCAATGGGAATTTCACCCAATGAAGATATCGAACCTCTCCCAAGGGAAATTCAAGCCCATCCGGGAAGTTTAATTTGCACTCAGCGTTACATTGCCGAGGACAACATGAATCATATATTTTCATGTATCGAAGATTGCGCATATCAATGAAGGTTAAAATGTCCAAGCACATGCTCTTCGTTAACTTTGACGTGTCTAAGAAAATACCTCTTACAATATTGGCATCCTGTTCGCAAGTCAAAAGATAACATGTTAGCAAAGCATACACGATGTCTTAATGTAACCGGAAATTTATAGTTTAACAAGAAGCCTTGTCTATATAAAAGTTTTTCTATTTTCTAAGTTATCATTTATTATTGTTATTTCCCGTTTACAAAGTACATAGTGGAAAAAGAGTTCACGATCTATCTTAAAAATTTAAAAATGTTGATTTAATCTCACTGTTCAGGTTTCAGACAGGACAACAGTTTTATCTCTATTTCCTATAGAATAGCCAGGGAAACATGACTGGAAATTCTCTTTAGAGAAAAAAACTTACTGATTTTTTCATTTTCATTAGCTTGTTGATGATATCTTCGTAGTTCCACAGCCTAAGCCACCGAGGAGAACCAAGGTCTTTAGAGAATGTATATAGTGGAACATTCATCTCTACTCGGCCACCAGCAATTGTAATCAGGAACTTGTTGACAAGATCTTTTACTTCACTCACAGCATTAGTAGAGTCAGGATCTCCTGAATCTAGTAAACTCCTAACAAAGTACTCATCCTCTGATTTGAAAAAGCACACTATGTCGAGAAACACATCTTTCTGCTTCTCAGTAAGTTTAAGTTGATCAGTAGAGAATCCCCCGACATCTTGATCTTTCTGCTTCTCACTAAGTTTAAGTTGATCAGTAGAGAATCCCCCGACACCTTGGAACATCCTATTGGATTGTTTTGTCAACATTTCCAATATAGGTGCCCAGTGAACCTCGTCTTTCTCATAAAGTTCCCTACCTAGTAATTTAAGAGTCAATGGGTGTCCTCGAGCATAATCCACAAACATTCTAGAGAGCGTCAGTAAGCTACTGGTGAAATTAAAATTTTGACCATGGAAGGCATGATAACTAAATAGCTGAAGGGCCACTCTGTCGTTCAATTTTGGGACCACATAGGTATCATCAGCAAATCCCTCAAGCAATGACTTGTCACACGTTGTTATAATAATCTTGCTTCCCTTCTTAATCCAGTCAAGTTCACCGAGGAGAAACTCTAACTGTCTCTTGTCACTCACGTCATCGAGAATAGCAAAAATTTTGGTCTTGAGTAGTGCAACTTTCACAGATCCATGTGTTGTCTCGTCACCTATATCTGGAACCTTTCCCTTGAGTAAATCTTCCAGGAGTGTCCTTCGCAGCTGCACTGGCCTATCGTCCTCTGAATTCTTACTGATATCTAGATAAGTAACGCAACTTATAAACTTTCGTTTCCACTTTTCGTGCAGCATCATTGCGAGAGTGGTTTTACCAATACCAGGCATCCCAACAACTCCAATAATTTGAGTATCATTGCCGTCAAAATCTAATTTATTCTCCAATTGCTTCATACGTTGCTCCATTCCAAAGAAAGACGGTTTTTCTCCTTCCTGCTGCGTAATAATCCTTAGAACTTCCTTGACGATATGTTTGATGAACTCGCTCTCAGAACTGCCATAACCATTACGAAAAAAACGTATAAGTGACAACGAAGATATAAACCCGAGGAATCAAGTGATTTCAGCAAACAATCAATTCAAGTCAGTAATAAATTATTATTTCCAATTACCTGTACTCATCCAAGTAGAAGCCCATCGTGGACGCCATAGACATCAAAGCTTCCATCCATTTAGTATTGATATGGTGATCCTGATTCATACGGCACAAACTCCTAAAGTTATCACCGAATACTCCCTTCAGTTTTTTAACCTGTGATGGCTCCACCTTGTAGAAGATTGGAATGGCTACGAGTTTGCCTTCGTCTCTGAGCTCTTTGATCTTCACCAGCTCATTTAAGCACCAAGCCGATTCTGTATACCTGCTAGAGATTATTACGAGTGCAAGTTTTGACTCCTCGATCCTCTTGAAAAGGTATCCAAGATCTACACCCTTTACCTCCATTTCATCTAGGAAGAAGCTGACTCCGTTCATTTTCAAGGCGTGCGTTAAGTAGCTGACAAAATGACGACGCATATCCTTTCCTCGAAAATTGATGTACACTTGATGCTTTTGGTCGTAGGTTACCATAGCAGAGCTTTCGCTTACATTTTCTTGCTTCTTTTCTTCTGTATCCTGTAGCTCAGGGGTTGTTACATCAGAGTCTTTTCCGGGAAGTTTAGGTTCAGTTGGAAGGCTATAAGTTTCCCTTGGAAGAAAGCTCAGAGCCATATGGACTTTCTTGACGATGTCATAAATAAGCGCGGCTTCATCACTGCGAAATGAATATAAGAAAACAATTGAGACACCCTGATCGATGGTAGCAGCACACTCAATTATTGCTATATGATTGACAACACTCTATAGCTTGAGGAGGGGAAAATCCATACCTTTTATCATTTAACACCAAACCCATATTTCCCGAAACGAATTCCAATGCTTCCTTCCATCTCTTGAGCATGTCAAACTCAGTATGCTTCCCGAGATCCCACAAGGAAGATCCGAAATCTCCCTCAAGATTTTTCACTTGCGATGGATCCAGCTTGTAGAAAATGGGAATGGCAATAAGTTTGCCTTGCTCAACTCGTTCCTTGATCTTCACCAGCTCGTCTAAGCACCATGTAGATTCAGTGTACCTTTCCGATAAGATTACAAGAGCCACACTCGATTCTTCAATAACCTCGAAAAGATCTTTGTATCCACGATACATCGGCTGGTCTACAAAGACGTTGACTCCGCCTCTTATCAAAGCCATCTCGAGGTGAGCGACAAAGCTCTGGCGCAGCTCGGCTCCTCGAAAATTGAGGAACACTCTTGGTGATTTCATGTTGGTTGCTTTGTATGTCGCCATGGAAGAATTTCTCTCTAAGGAATTAGTTTACTTACAGAGACGAATTCGAAAATTTGGGGTAATGAGTTTGGGAAAATCAACATCTTCTTCGTCAACGTTTGGTATCGCAACACCACTATCCAATTTTTAATTCCACAGATTTGTGTATTACTTGTCGAATCCGCCACTTACTTGTTGAGCTGTCCATAGCCTGGTGGTCCCTACTGATACCAGCAATAATCGAAGGGTTGGTTTTTCTCAATTTAAAACTCCAGATCCAGATCCAGTGATGCTGAAGACTGAAGAGTCAAGACTCAAGAGCAGGTCAATGGGCAAAAAGCTTATGTCATGAGTTTTTATTTTGATCAAAATTAATGGGCCTTCACACACCCATTATCAGCCCACTAATTACTGTAGGTAGCGGACTTTGTGTTGAAAAGAATCAACCGCCACGGAAGTTGGGATTGAGGAAAGTAAGCAAAAATGGCGACTTGGATAACGTTACAGCCTCCGAATTCATGTTATTTACGGCTGATGCCATCATCAGCGCCGTCGCCTCGAAGTCACCGTTGTCTCCTTAAGCCATTTCGATGCGTTCCACTTCAACAACAAGAGCCTCAGCTCGAGCAGTCGCAGCAGGTACCAAACAAGTGTTTGGACATTAAAAATCGATGAAATTGAAATCGGATTTGACAATTGATTGAGGATTTTTGTGAAGGGAGACGATGAAGCCGTGATTTTGTGTGAGGACTGTAACGGGAAAGGATGGTTGATCTGCGATGTCTGTAATGGACAGAAAACAAATGTGAAGTCTGAGAACAATCGAATCTATCGACGTTGTCCAACTTGTAAAGCTGTGAGTTTTCGTAACTTCAATTAGGTTAAACAATTGATAAGTAACGTACGAGTGAAGCTATGGATTGGTTATCTGAATTTGAGAACTTGAATGATGTTATAACAGGTGGGATTTGTGTTGTGTAGAAAGTGTAAAGTGTTCAAGTGTGTCACGTTTCCTAATTCAGAAGACGGTGATGAACTTATGTTCTAAGCTCTCCTTGTGGTATCAACACTCTTCTTCTCCAACTAAGGACACCATTTGAGTTTTCAGGTTCCTTTCTTCTTCCAATGGTTATATATAACTGTTGTTCTTACTCGCCAAGCTCGAATATCCGATGTAGCCATATGTATGATAAGCACTTTGTAACATTAATCAGACTAGTGATTGCATTTGCTTCTTAACTGATCTCTATGTTCATGTGTGAAGCTGACTTTTTAACCTTTCCTGGTTGATTTTTGTCTGTAATGTGTCTCATTGATTTATCCTTAAAAAAAATAGGATTTCCTTGTCGAGTCGTTTAGGGTATAACCTCGACACTCATCTTTAGAGCAGAAAACTATTGAGTCATTGTCGTACACTCCAACGGTTTTTATGATTCCAAGGCATATGGTTAATCTTCTGCTGGATCTTGCTGTCTTTATAGAACCTGCAATTTATTATCCTCGATATCAGGTTCAGGAGATAAATGCACATGCATTAGGTGATTTGTTCTAGAATGGTGTTAAATCTCAAGGTACAGATGTCATGTGGTGTTTTCCGTTTTATCGGATCTCTATGTTTATGTTTTGACTTTGACTCTCATTAATCATTTGGCAGAGAACTAACATGTGATTTCATGAACATCTTTATCTCCCTTTCTTGAATCATGTTTGGTTTAGGAGATTGTCTAGTCATTCCTTTTGATATTGCCGTACTCTTTTGAGATGATCGTATATGCATGTGATCACACTAATGGAGGTAACTAGTTTACATAAGAATATTCCTGTGACTTTGCTATTAGCTTATTATATTACTAAGTATCCTTATTATAGCTTTAGTTTTCGTAAGAGAAGCTTAGGATACCGTACTTTTTCCTTTGAATTGTTTAATAACCACATTCCACTAGGTGATTAAAAGTACAATTCCGTAATTGTTGCTATGATTAGGTTATCCTACTATTTTAAATCTCTGATTAAACTGCAACTTCCATTCACATGGTTGTTCCTGAAAGTACGCAAACTGCCCAACTAGAAACATGAACCATCTATTTGTTTTCTCTCTCTCTTCTTATTTCTCTATAGGCATAGCATTTTGGATCCTTGTGAGTTTGATTTCTGCTTAAGAGTTAAAAAGAAAAAATGCAGACGTTTAATCTGTGCATGTCATTCTCCTTTTGTTTCATTAGGTTCTATCTTGAGATTATAGATCAACTTCTATAGTATCCAAACTACGATGAATTTTCTTGCCGATGTGATATTTTTCTACTGACTTGTGTTGCATACATGCAGACGACTGGATTACAATGGATTTAAAACACTTTGTGTAAAAGTTCAGATATGGTTTCTGCTTGATTCACTCATATAGTATTTGATTTGTTTTTGGGCTACTGCATTTTGTCATCATAGCTAGTTAGATCAATGGGCTGGTGGGTTTTTATGAGAAATTCCACTAGAGCAGAGAAAGAACAAAGAGTCATTTTAAGTTTTCATCAGTCAGAGGTAACCGCAACAAAAGTCGAAAACAGAGCAGAGAAAGAATAAAGACTCTCAAGGAACAGAGGTCGTCCTGACAGTTTCAATGATCCGTTTGTACATTCAATTATTCAAATCTCTCCTCTTACTCAGAAATTTGAAGCACATATATCCATATTCCTAGAGAAAAAGTGGGAATAAGCAGAATGGCTCAAGTCAGTTCAAGAGGAGGAAGAAGAAGATACAGAAGCAAGCAATGAACAAAACTATCTGCACATTGGGCTGTTGTGAGGTTGGTGTGAAGGAGTCTTAGGGCAGTCCGATGGATGCCGGTAACTCGTCTTATCATCTGCTGCTGCATTGAACTTACACTCCTGCTTAGCTGTGGTTGTCGTCACCAGGTACCCTTCGTTCTTCTCCTCCATCATCTTCAATATGCTCTCAAAAACAGAAACTTCACACGGAATCCTCAAGACACCGGTTTGTTGAAACCCGAACTCTTCTTCTGCCTCACGCAGAAGAACATAGAAAGCTTGGTGGCTGAGGTACTCTGTTGGTATTGTGTACCTCTTCTTCTCTAACCCAACAGAGACAGCTAGATACCCTTTAGGCACAGATGTTACATCTGTAAATGACAGTGTCCTCTTCAGAAACTTGATGCCCTTGCTTCCCCCGCCATTGCTGTTGTTGTCTTCGTTGTTGTTGTTGGCTGCTTTTGATGCAATTGCTTGTTTTCGCCATTTCTTGAGGAGCTGTTGAAGCTTCACGATCTCTCTGATCTTGTTTGACTTCTTGGCTTCCATGGTGGAGATAGAAGACAAGACAAGAAATGGGTTTGGTACTACTATGTTTTGTCTAGCGTTTGTCTCTTTCTATGTGTGTAGTGATTAGGACGTGGTGTTTTGAGCATTGGGGATATATAGAGGTGGTGAGTGGTGACCATGGAATTCTGATTTAATTATTTAATTTATTACAGGTTTCTGTTTAAAATATTGTGCTAAACTGCTAATCATATGCTTTGGGGTAATTTTTTTTTAATGATCTAAACCAACTTGAATTTGTGGACAAACAAAATTAAACAGCTTGTACTTACAAAATTATATAAACATAACGTCAAGATTGTCACCAACACAGACACGAAGCTGGCTCAAGCATCGCTTAAATCCATGAGACACAATCTATTATTGAGATATACTCGTTTCGTTGATACTTGACTCTGATTTCATTCACTCAGCAGTACGTACTCTTGGCTTCTGTTGCCAAATCTTATGGTATCTTTCTCAAAAAGCTCGTAGTACCGTTGTGGCTCAATCGGAGTTTCGTTGATGTAAGTATAATTGGTACTACCAAGATCCATAATGTAAGGCCTCACTTGGTTGTTTGTTTCTGGTTGTTTCTCTTTTTCCACCTCGCGGTACTGAATAACAGCATGTTGCTTGCTACAAGATGGGTGATCAGTAGGAATGTCGGCGATCTTTCTCTCACGTCCAAAGAGGTAGCAGCTTTGGTAATGAATGCAGAGTGGCTCATTCAGTGGTTCACCATCTTTTAAAACATAAAGTCTCCTCCATCTGTCGTTGGGTTTTCTTGTTTTGTAACTGAATTTAACCGAAAAATACAGAAAAAAAATATACAAAATACGAAAAAATTAGAAATAAAATTAAATTTGGTTCGATTATGCAAGAGTATTTAACTTTGAAAAATATATAACTAACAACATTTGGATATGTTGATTCTTTAAAGTATTTGATTGTTTTGAGTCTAAAAATAATTAATATTTTTGAGTTTGTAATTAATAGTTTTGGGTATTGTGGGTATTAATTTTAGGTATATTTTAAGTTTTCTAGATATTTTGGTTATCGTTTCAGTTCGGTTTGGTTCGATTTCGATTGGTTTGGATAGAGGATTTTACAAACCATTTAGTTATTTTAGAAACTTCGGTGTAAATGTTTGAGGAAAAAAAAAAAAAAAAACTTTGGTGTGAATAACTGAATATGGTTCGGTTCGATTCGGTCGGTTATTCTGATACCTGTTTTTTTCAAGCTCTAATTGTGACCACAACAGATCCATTTTGTTCCAAAAAAAAAACAGATCCATTTAGTTAAATAAAATAGATGATTAAATCAAAAAAAAAAATAAAAAAATAAAAAAATTGAGACAATAAACAAGAAACAAAAGAATAATGACACTGTTGTGAAACTTATTGTTGTCTCATTCCATTCCATGAATAATGATACATATATATAGGTATATAAACCTAGGGTTTTAGAGTACATAATGAATAACCCTGATGGGCTTATTGGGCCCGGTTATAAGTCCAATATGATGTATTATAACACTCCCCCTTGGACGGAGTAACCGGACCTGATGGTCAATCGGGATCTCGATAATACGCTGGGGAATGTTGCCTCATTAAAACCTTACCAGGAAAACCCAGTGGGAAAAACCATGGTGAAGGAAAAAGAGTACAACACGCATTACTCCCCCTGATTAGAGCATCACCGTAGATCTCTAAGTCTACGCATTCCTATTTGTTGGATGAGCTTCCGGAGTGTTGAAGCGGGCAATGATTTGGTGAAAAGGTCGGCGGAGTTATCGCATGATCGGACCTGTTGAACGCTGATCGTACCATCCTTCTGCCAATCCGAGGTTGAGAAGAATTTCGGTAGGATGTGCTTCGTCCGATCTCCTTTGATATAACCTTCCTTGAGTTGAGCAATGCAAGCCGCGTTGTCTTCAAACATAACCGTGGGCTCCTTATCTTCTTTCATACCACAATCTGATCGAATGTGCTGAGTCATGGATCGTAGCCAAACACATTCTCTGCTGGCTTCGTGAATGGCCAAAAGTTCTGCATGGTTTGATGAAGTGGTAGTGATTGTCTGCTTTATCGATCTCCAAGAGATAGCTGTTCCTCCATGCGTGAACACATAACCAGTTTGAGACTTGGCATTGTGCGGATCTGATTGATAACCTGCATCAGCAAAACCAACTAGTCCATCCTTGTTGTGGTTAGTGTAAAACAGTCCTAAGTCTTTAGTACCTTGAAGGTATCTTAGGAGGTGTTTGATACCATTCCAGTGCCTCTGAGTTGGACATGAGCTGAAGCGAGCTAGGAGGTTCACGGCAAAACAAATGCCTGGTCTAGTGTGACTAGCCAAGTACATTAACGCTCCTACAGCACTGAGGTATGGCTTTTCTGGACCGAGAATTTCTTCATCGTCCTTCTTGGGACCAAATGGATCACTGTCCAATCCTAGGCTCCGGACAACCATTGGGCTGTTCAATGGGTGGGCCTGGTCCATATTGAATCGCTTGAGTACTTTTTCAATGTAAGCCGCTTGATGCACAAGGATTCCTCCTTTAACGTACTCAAGTTGTAAACCCAAACAGAATTTAGTTTTACCTAGGTCTTTCATTTCGAATTCTGCTTTCAAGCAGTCGACTGTTTGGGAGATTTCACCAGATGTTCCGAGGATGTTTAGATCATCCACGTAAACTGCTATGATTACAAATCCTTTGTTTGAGTATTTCTTGATGAAAATGCATGGACTGATGGGATCGTTTTTGTAGCCTTCTCTGATGAGATATTCGCTTAACCGGTTATACCACATACGTCCACTTTGTTTCAGTCCATACAAGGATTTGTTCAGCCTGATGCAGTATTGATCTCGAGATGCATGCTTATCTTTAAGCTCTATGCCATCTAGTAATCTCATGTATATTTCATTGTCGAGGGGCCCATAGAGATATGCGGTGACAACATCCATTAACCGCAAATCTAGACTTTCTCTTATGGCCAGACTTATGAGGAATCGAAAAGTAGTTGCATCCACCACCGGAGAATAAGTCTCCTCATAATCGATTCCGGGTCTCTGTGAGAATCCTTGTGCTACAAGCCGTGCTTTATAACGAACGACTTCACCGAGTTCGTTTCTTTTACGCACAAAGACCCATTTATGGCCCACTGGTTTGACATTGAATGGTGTCCGGATGATCGGACCAAACACATTTCTGAGTTTGAGACTCTTTAACTCCACGTTTATGGCTTCTTTCCATTTTAGCCAGTCTGTTCTATGAGTGCACTCTATGATAGACGTGGGTTCTAGATCCTCTTGCGTGTTCGCAATATCAAGTGCTACTTTGTATGCAAAGAGTGCATTTAAGTCGACTTCTTTTCTGTTCCATTGGGTTCCAGACATGTTGTAATTGATAGAGATCTCATCGTTATCGATCTCGTCAGAACCTAGAGATTCGGCGTCCCGAACCTCTTCTGGTGGTTCATTAGAGTGAGTCTCAGCGCGCGCTATGTCTGTTATATTGGGAATCCCGGTTTCAACTATTGCACCTTTCTTTGATTTCCGTGGATTCTTGTCTTTGGAACCTAGAGGTCTGCCACGTTTATTTCGTGATGCAGACTCTGTAGCAACTTGAACTTGTCCCGTTGGAACAGTGATTCGTACTGGTGCATTACAAGCTGGTATGTACGATTTGGTTACTTTGTTCGGGTCAGCAAAGGAATCTGGCAATTGATTAGCTAGCTTTTGATAGTGTATAATCTTTTGGATCTCCGAATCACATTCTAGAGTCCGAGGATCTTGCCAATTTAAGGATGTTTGATTCCATGATAGCTCTTTGACCAGCTTGTGTTTCTCTCCACCCAATGTTGGATATACCGATTCATCAAATTGGCAATCCGCATATCTGGCCTTAAATAGGTCTCCAGTGGTCGGCTCGAGATATTTGATGATGGTGGGAGAATCAAAACCAACATATATTCCCATCCTCCTTTGAGGTCCCATTTTGGTTCTATGTGGTGGAGCAATGGGTACATAGACTGAGCACCCAAATGTTTTGAGATGGGAGATGTCTGGCTCATGACCCTGTAATAATTGGGATGGGGAATATCTATGCTTACTAGATGGTCGGATGCGTATTAGTTCAGCAGCATGTAATACTGCATGTCCCCAAGCTGAGACCGGGAGCTTCGACCTCATGAGTAATGGTCGAGCAATCCGTTGTATTCGTTTAATGAATGATTCAGCAAGTCCATTCTGAGTATGGACATGTGCCACAGGATGTTCAACGGTTACCCCCATGGCCATACAAAAATCATTAAACGCTTGGGAAGTGAATTCACCAGCATTGTCAAGACGTATAGTCTTTAGTGGAAAGTCTGGAAAGTGGGCTCGTAATCTGATGATTTGAGCCAATAACCTAGCAAAAGCTTGGTTCCGAGAAGACAATAGGCAGACATACGACCAACGGGTCGAAGCGTCTATGAGTACCATGAAGTACCGGAATGTCCCAGAAGGTGGGTGAATGGGACCACAGATGTCTCCTTGGATTCTTTCCAGAAAATGTAATGTCTCTTTGGACACTTTTACTGGTGAAGGCCGAGTGATCAACTTCCCTTGGGAGCAAGCTATGCACGTGAGGTGCTGAGGGAAGACTCGGTTTTCTCGAAGGGTGTGTCCTTGAGAATTTTGGATTAATTTACGCATCATGGTCATACCGGGATGACCAAGCCGGTCGTGCCAAATAGTGTAGTCTTGGAATCGGGCTTTGAGAGCATTATTAGCCTCAATCATACTGACCTTAGCATAGTAAAGGCCAGTAGATAATGCGGGTATAGTCTTGAGGACTTGTTTATGGCCAAGTATGATCTTAGTGATCAGTAGGGATTCTTGTTCCCTTCACCCTGGGTTTCTATGTGGAAACCATTAAGTCTGATATCTTTAAAACTTAAAAGGTTTCTTTTTGAGCTGGGTGAGTATAATGCATCTGGAATGTCCAGATGTGTGCCGTTTAATAACAACACATGGGCCTGAGATCTGGAATCAATCGAGGAGATCTGAGATCTCGTAGTGGTGTCGTCAGCATCAACTTGCTGGGCCATGTTAGCTTCAGCAGGTGCTTTCCCATGTTTCTGATACAAATCGCAATGAAACTTGGGAGTACGACAGTTCTTTGTCCAGTGATTGAACATTCCGCATCTGGTGCAGGCAGACTGATTGGTTGGGTGGGCAGGGCGGTTTGGTTTAGAGATACCACGGCCCTTACCAGAACCATAACCGAGGTTATGTCGGTTGCCACGTCCATTTCCGCGTCCACGCTTTCCACGTCCACGATCTGAGGATCTGTCTCACTGGACATTGTAGGATTCTTTGCGGGAATCTGGTACTGGAGCCGATCCCGGGGGCCTCTGGGCACTGTTCCTCATTAACAGGTCATTGTTTTTCTCGGCCAAGAGCAAACAGGATAACAAATCTTCGTACAATGTATGTTTCATTGCACGATATTGTTGCTGAAGCACAATATTTTGGGTATGGAAGGTGGATAATGTTTTCTCGAGGAGATCATTATCAGACACCTCTTCACCACATAGTTTCATGATTGAAACTATCCGAAAGAGTTCGGAGTTGTAGTCATCCACAGATTTGTAATCTTGGAACCGGAGTTCCTTCCAGTCAAACTTGGCTTGTGGCAAGAGCACCGTTTTCTGGTGATCATACCGTTTTTTCAGGGCCACCCAAAGTTCGAGTGGGTTCTCAAGAGTGAGATATTGCTGTCTGAGGCTTGCGGCCAAATGATGGCGGATATGAAATATCGCCTGGGACCGGTCTTTATCAGATGCGGTGTTATCCGCTTTGATACACTCACCCAGTCCCTTTGAGTTGAGGAAAATCCTGGTGTCCAGGGCCCATTCGAGATAGTTTTCACCGGAGACCTTGAGGGCCTCGAACTCGACTTTCTGAATGTTCGACATCTGAAACATGAAATTGATTTCATTAGGGGTTTGTTAAAAGGATAGTTATATGAAAATAATTAAATTTTCTATTTAAGGAAACTTTATATTTGAGGAAAGTTTCTAATTTGGGAAACTTTCTAAATGAGGAAAGTTTTCATTCCGGGTCATTTGCTATTTGAGGAAAGTTTCTATATTAGGAAACCTTCTAAATGAGGAAAGTTTCTATTTGAGGAAAACTTTCTAAATGAGGAAAGTTTCTATTTGAGGAAACCTTCTAAATGATGAAAGTTTCTAATTTGGGAAACTTTCTAAATGAGGAAAGTTTCTATTTGAGGAAACCTTCTAAATGAGGAAAGTTTCTAATTTGGGAAACTTTCTAAATGAGGAAAGTTTTAATTCCGGGTCATTTGCTATTTGAGGAAAGTTTCTATTTTAGGAAACCTTCTAAATGAGGAAAGTTTCTATTTGAGGAAAACTTTCTAAATGAGGAAAGTTTCTATTTGAGGAAACCTTCTAAATGAGGAAAGTTTCTAATTTGCGTAAAAGAAACCTTCTAAATGAGGAAAGTTTCTAAGTTTCTATTTTGGGTCATTTGTTATTTGAGGAAAGTTTCTATTTTAGGAAACTTTCTCGGGAATCGTAAATTTTAAAGATACGGAACATAAGTTCGGTTTAATGGTTTAAAGTTGGACCGGAATATTAGATTCCGGTTTGGGCCGAATTGATTTCCGGTTTAGAATAACCAGTTTGAACCGGTTTACCCAGATTGAGATCCGGTTATTATTTTGGAACCGGTTTGATAATCGGTTTAACCGATGAACCGAATTGATATTCGGGTTTAGGAGTTAACCGAGAATGATTTCCGGTTTAGGGGATACACAAAAATTGCGGTTTTGGATTTGATTTGATTTAGGTTTTAAGATTTCGGCCATGGCTTAGTGTTTTCGATTTTGAGTGTTAGGTTTAAGTAATACAAGGTTTTTGATCTTTAAGCTTTTAAGGTTTTGTTTTTACCTTTCACCAATTGGGGTTGAACGAATTGAACCGGGAGCTTAAGACCTCGGTAACTCACGCTGTCGATGAACAGTACCGATGAACAGTGTCGATGAACAGTATCGATGAACAGTGTCGGCGTGAACAGTATCGGCGAACAGTGTTGATGAACAGTATCGGCAAACAGTGTCGGCGTGAACAGTATCGGCGAACAGTGTCGATGAACAGTATCGGTGAACAGTGTCGGCGTGAACAGTATCGGCGAACAGTGTCGATGAACAGTGTCGGCGTGAACAGTGTTTTGCGATTTTTAGGGTTAGGGTTGTTAAGAGCAAACTCGTGCTGATAACGTGTTGTGAAACTTATTGTTGTCTAATTCCATTCCATGAATAATGATACATATATATAGATATATAAACCTAGGGTTTTAGAGTACATAATGAATAATCCTGATGGGCTTATTGGGCCCGGTTATAAGTCCAATATGATGTATTATAACAGACACTTTATTCTTTAGTCTTTACCTTTAGGAGTAAGTTTTCTTTCTTTCGATATCCTAAATTGTTCGCCACGTGTCAATCACGAAACCACATCCAAATATCCTTGTCGTGTTTCTCCAATCATCAAAAAAAAAAAGAAAAAAAAAACTGTCCCAATTTGATCAAACAAATTCATAAACTCGAAGAAGAGAAATACGAAAAAATTTCTTGTTGGCAAATCTCCGGCGAAATCATCTTCGCTGTTTTCTAACACGAAACTTTCAGACATGGCGGCCGCGAAACTCGTGGCTTTGTTACTACTCTTCGCCTTGGTTTTCAATTTCACCACTTGTGTCGTTGCCGACGCTGGAATCAACGGTGGTGAAGAACCGAAACTTAGATCCGACGGCGGTGAAATCGAATTGGATCAGCTTAATGCTAAAATTCGTGCCCTAGGTTACACTCAGTTACTTCAATTTCATTTCTATGTGAATCGTGATAGTTCGCTATGTCTTGTACGAATTTCTCAATTTGATTTTTGTTTTCTTCGTTTTGGTTGGTGAAGAATCTCAAATTGATGATAAAACCAAAGAACTTAAAGGAAGAGAAGAGTTAGTAACAGAGAAGGAGAAACTTCTTCAAGAGAGACAAGACAAAGTTGCTTCTTTGGAGACTGAGGTTTCTTCACTAAGGGTAATTTGCATGTTATAGTGTCTCACTGAAATGGCTTCCATGTTCAGTCATAGATTGCTTTATATCAATCATGGATTGTTGTTTTTTGTTTTCAGAAAAAAGGTTCATCAGATTCTGTGGAACTGTTGAGTAAAGCTCAAGCACGAGCTGCTGAATTAGAGAAGCAGGTGAGATCTTTATTTGAGAACCCATCTTTTATATGCATGTAAGTAAGTTGCTAAATTTATATTGTGTGATTATACTTGTGAATTCAGGTTGAGGTACTCAAGAACTTTCTGGAGCAAAAAAACAAGGAGAAAGAATCGATAGAAGCTCGGACTAGTGAAGCCGAGAAGAAGCTAAACAAATTGAACTCGAAACTTGAGAAAGTACATATGTTCTTTACATCCCTTGGTTCTTTTTTCTCTTGGCACATATTATTTATTCATTTCAAATCATTTAAAAAGCTTAGCTACTTGTACAAGTGATCTGGTTTTATCTACCTTGCTTCACCTTTAGCTGGAATTTGTTAAGGTTTAAGACTACAAAATATTATTGTCTCTGAGTCTCGTTCTGTGTTATGGTCTTTTTGTTGGAGTTTTTGTTTCCCACCTATATAATAGCTGTATAAGACAACTTCTTTTTCATACTCGATGTTTGGTTCGGATGTAGATATTGGAATTGTATGCAAGTTATGTATGGATATGTGCTTTTTTGGTATGCATATTTTAACAAGATACTACTGCAGCTTCACAAGACAAATCAAGAGCAGAAGAACAAAATACGAAAACTCGAGCGTGCTCTTAAAATTTCTGAGGTATGATGACGCTCTTGGATTTAAGTTTAGTTCCCATTGACTTTTAGTTTCAGCCATCACTCTTGACTCTTGTTAAAATAAAATTATAGGAAGAAATGTTGCGGACAAAGCATGAAGCAACCACAAAGGCTAAGGAACTGATGGAGGTTCATGGGGCGTGGCTTCCCCCTTGGTTTGCTGTACACTGGAGTAATTTTCAGGTAAGATTATTAGATTTTATTTTACGACTTCCTGCGTAATAGATTTTCTCAATAAACTTGGGCACTTCCTGGACTCAGACTGTTGCTGGAACACACTGGGACGCCCACGGCAAACCAGTTATGGAGAAAGTTACTGAAAAGGTATTGTTAAATCCAATTGTATGGCCATTACCTGTCTCTGAGAGTGATGCCTAACTAAGTTTGATCATTTCTTAGGTGACGGTAGCGAAAAATCAAGCTGAAAAATGGGCTAAACCGCACATGGCTAATGTTAAAACTGTAAGTAACTTACAGCCAATGTGTTTATTACTAAGGAGGCTCTTATGGTTATGCTTACGAAGTTCTATTTCCAGAAATATATTCCAGCCATGAAAGAGACTGTTAAAACGCATGTTGAGCCACACGTTCAAACACTATCTACCAAAGCGAAAGAGGCTTACCATGCTTCCAAGAGTGCTGTTACTCCACATATTGTCAAGTTTCAAGAACATGTAGATCCCTATTACCAGGTGAAGTTTTTCTAGCTACATTTTTCCATGGATATTAATCTTTCAGCTACATCTATGATGACAATATCCGCTTAATGCGTTTTGTTTTTGCTCTCCAGGAGGCTAAAAAGTTTAGCAAGCCGTACGTTGATCAAGTAGCCACGGCCACAAAACCACATGTTGATAAGGTGAGAGCTACCATAAAGCCTTACACAAAGAAGACAATTCACTATTACAAAGAGTTCCTAGAATCTGCCTCAACATATCACCATCAGGTCAGAATCGGAGGCACTGTGTATATAATTTATGGACACTCTAGTTATGAGTAGGGCCATTTCTGGAGGAAAGTGGTGTCTTTTAAGCTGATAAATGTTGTCTTGAATCTGTGAAGCTTCAAGCCAATGTCGAAACGAAATTGAAGAGCCATGAGCTGATGGAACCTTTTGCCACCAAAGAGTTCACTTGGTTTGCAGTATGTTATCTGGTCTTGCACTCTAAGACAACATGCTTTTTTGTTGTTTCCTCTATCAGCTTAAAATTGATAAACCGTTCACTGCAGGCCTCTGCTTTGTTGGCGTTACCCATCTTCATAGTGTACAAATTCCTCTGTTCGCTCTTCTGGCAAGTTTCTTAAATCATTATTTATAATATGTTTAAATTAGTTTGCAGTATATTGCTCTCTAGTTTTAAAGATACGCCATCCTTGATTCCGCCAAATGACCTTTAGTTTGTTTGTTGTATGTTTATGCAGCACAAAGACAAAGAAGCCTACCCGACAGCCACATCACCATACTCGCCGTAAGGCCAAAAGGGGTCATTCTGACAAGTGAAGTCACATGATTGTGTTGTTGTCACTTCCTCGTGCTATAAATATTAGAGGTATATCTCACTTTCTGCTTAAATACACGTGTTGTGGAACGGATCACGAACAAAGAGAGCTGTGGTTACTGAATAGATCGATAGGCCAAGCCAGAACTTACTTTCCATAGACTTGAGTCTGTCTGATGTTGATATGTGGATAGTGTGCAGGTTTCCGAATCCTATATGCATTGTCATTTTGTCTAATGCAAAACGCTTTCATATAATAGTGTAGAAGCTATTAGAGTCTAGTGACTGACGTTATAACTCTTGGAGTGATTTGTGTCTAGTGTTTCATGATCTTTATCTATACTCTTGCAGGTAAAGACGGGTTTTGATGTGTTCTCTGCGAGCCTTAGCAACAGTCTATATGTTTCCTTCGTTACGTATGAAAGAAATAGCTTATGTTAAGAGGTATCTTATGGGTCTTTTTTTAATCTCGCTGTGCAAAAGTGTTCTTCACTCTCTCCGTTTTTGAGATGCCTTTTGAATATAAAGTTTTCAGTCTTTTTACAGAGAAGATTAGACATCCAGAGGAAAATCTAGTAAGGGCTTGTTTTGTGTATTTTGTGATTCATGTGGATAGATTTGGTACTTGCTTCATTACTCTTTAAAAAAACTATCACTTTTGTCTTTTGTCTTGTTGAAAACTATTTCTCAAAAATCGAAATCAAATTGGGAATTGTTACAGCTTTTATTTTATTTGTAACTAAAAATCATAGAGCCAGACCATAATTGGTTTGACTAGTCTTCGATTCTTAACATTTTCCTAGAATAGGTAAACAAATGCAATAATAAAGAAAAAAACAACCAAAAAAAAGTTTTACCAACAAGTAAATGGAATTTTCTTCCTCCTGCAAACAATATAAAAACCATAACATAAACTGACAATTACCAATCAATAAGATGGCCAGTATCCATCCAAGTCCATGCACTGGCTCATCTCCACATTTCCAAACCCGTTTCCCCCATTGAACGAAGCACTAACCGCGGCAACATCCTCGAGTGACACAACAGGAGGCGGCTGGACCAGTGCACCACCAAGGTTGAGACTGAGCCCTGAGACAGGCATGTGGGTGTAGTTCATTAGCTGCTGATGAGCAGAGTCCATGTTGGTGCTTGTGGAGGCACGGAAGACTCTAGAGAGCTCGGCTAGGTGAACCGCATTAGCCATGAGGGATTGGTTGATATTGAGGCTCGGGTGTGGTTGTAGATGCGGTGGGAGTTGAAGGAGGTCTGATGAGTAATTAGTGTTGTTGTTGTTGGTTGATGAGAGTATTGAGGCTCTTGTGTGATTGTGGTTATGGTTATGATGACTTGTGCTACTGCTACTGCTGCTTATGTATTTCTTGGTTGCTTCTGTTTTCTTGAACACTCTACACACTACCCACTCGTCTTGCTGCATTTACATGTTACATCATGAAAAATGAAATGAGAATTCTTTAAACATACGAGTTAGTCACAGTGAATATATAACAAGAAGATCAGCAAAAACTCAGATAATCGAAGTCATTTGCTATAAAAAGCGTATACCTTGGAGGTTCTATAGGAAGACTTAGAGTGAAGTCGATACTCATGCATGACCCAACTAGTCTTCTCCCCACGAGGAGCTCGTCCTCTGTAAAAGACCAAAGTCTTCTTCATCCCGACCAACTCCGAGGTTGTGCTATTGAATATCTCTTTGTCTTTTCCTGTGGTTTTCCAATATCCTGTATTCGTTGCTCTATTCGTCCTCACTCCCGTCGGGTACTTCCGGTCTCGGAGGCTAAAAAAGTACCATTCTTTTCCGCCCATTTTCGCCTTCTCTATCAACATTATACTCAAACAGAAACTTTGTGAATAACTTTGCGAGTTAGCTGACGTTTTTCTATCAAATAATTAAGCCCTTTCCCAAAATATTAACATGTCACTACTAATTAAATTAATATATGCATTATTTTAAGTGAAAATGTAAATAAGTGGTGAAAGATTTTGGATTATGAAATTTCGTTATTTTAAAAATTGGGTTAGTTTGGAACCAATATTAGAATTTACTTAATCAGATTATGGATAGAGCTAATTAAAGACAAAATAAGTAGATGAGAAATTAACGTACGTACGGTAGTGAATGCATGACTTCCGTTTCATGTAACTAATGTTTGTTAGGAAACTTCATTGTGTGACTTTCTATTTTAAAGATATATGCTTACAATCTTTTTTAATAACCGAGCTAATTGTTTTTACAGAAACTTAAACTATGCCATATATAGATTGATTTTTCTTTTTTTTGGATACATCTATTCCATAGATTTACATTTAGTATACATCTACCTTCCGCTCCATAAATAACCACATGTCTATAAGCTTATAAGAAAAGATTTTAAAGATTGTGGATGTGATATCTAACATATACGTAGGAATTACAACCGAATGTATATTTTTCTAACACTATAACCGACTTATGATTAGTAATCAAGAATGTACTCATGATATTATTGCATTTTCATTAGGCATAAAATATAGATAGTAGGTGTTATGAACTTTTAGATGCTTCCCAAAATAGAAGAACCATTAAACATATGAACACTATGTTGTCCGCTTAAATACATACACACATTTATGTGTACATGGAGTATATCCATACACACATCCATGCATATATATATATATATATGACATGTTCTTAACACTATATTTATGATTCATTTATGTCATGTACTCATGTGTGAAGATATCCAAAGCAATATGCATATAGAAAAAGACACATATTGCTTTGGATATCTTTAAATCCAAAGAATATAGGTCTTACCAAGTTTGAATAAAATCGAAGATATATATCAATATATACATACATGTATCCACCCATCAAAAATAAAAATTATTTTTATACATATCATATACATGTGATCTTTTTGTGTGTACGAAGAAAATACTTAGTTTATCAAAAAAAATACGAAGAAAAGACTTAAGACAAATTAACGTACCAGGAAGCTCCCATGGCTCGGACTTGTTGAGATCAACGTCGGCGATTGCTTTCCCGGTGAAGTTTTGATCGGCGATCTTATTAACCAAGTAGTATGAGATTAGCTCCTCATCAGTTGGATGAAATCTGAAACCCGGCGGCAAAGCTTCTTCTTCTTTCTTCTGCTGTTGATGATCTCCTTGTTCCATTTTATATGATCTTTGGTTAACTCCAAATCCAAGAACCTTTTTGTACCTGCTTGAAACACATAGTAACATGTCTAAGTTTCACCATCCATGAGAGTAAGAGAGGACATAGATCCTAACGTTCTACAAATGTTTTAACCCTAAGATAAAGGTACTAAAGGATGAATTCGAAAGAAGAAAATAACAAGATATATATCTGTAATGATAGGTATAGGCTGAGATATTGGGTTTACTTGTATGGAAGAAGAAAATCAGACAACCAAAACTTTTATGAGATTAGGGTTTTGATGGTATTTATATATCATGAGACAAGGATGACTTGCAACTATTCTTAGGAGGAAAAGATGAAGGAAGAAGACAAAGAGTAGGTTTTTTCTTCTTTTCTTCTTAATTATTTAGTCGTGCATGGGATTTAAAAAACAATTATTCTAACTCGGTTTTGCCTTATATTTATTAATTTATAATACAGAAACATATTTATCATTTCTAAGTTTTGTTGGCATATTAGGAAACCCAATTATCATCCAAGTTTGAAAGCCATAAAAATTTCAAATGAAGACTGCTTTTGTAAGAATTTGCATTTCAGTGTTTATGTGATTTTGTATAAGTAATTAAATAACATTAATTACTATCTTATTGAGTAGAAATTATTATGTAGAAAAAAGAGGAAAATGTGGAAGAGAGTGTGCATGAAGCTCTCACCTAATAAGGGTCTTCAAGTACAAGGTACACGCGGCTGAACCCCCCACGTCCAAATTTTATCCTTTGTTTATTTTGTGTAGTTGGTCAAGAAATTCTCCTTTTAGGACCCCTATTAATTCATCTTACCTTAGACATATATACTCATATACACACAACCACATGAGTATATCCTTTATATATATGAATGAACTACGTGTTGATGTTGGTGTCGGATCTCGCATGATCCGATCCATTTTGTGCTAATCATGAGTCCTAAAAAATTCATATGTTTGGTTTAGTAAATGGGTCAATGGTCAGTGGTTAAAGAGTCAAATGGTCTAAATCGTAGCATCCAATTTTAAGATGGAGGAGGACCACCCATATGGAGGGATCCAATTTTTCTCTCCGTCTCTTCCACAAGAACACTTTTGTTCCAAATATTAGCTATTCTTATATATAATTAAACACACATTAAAAAAATATTAATGACGATTTTATTTTTTAACTTTTTATTTTGTCTATTTATATTTATTATTTTAATCGAGTTGGTATTTATTCACAAAAAATTGGATCATTTGTTGTGAAACAAATCATGTTGAATTCTTCATTCACAACTTGATTGCGTCTCTGTTGAAGATCAAATCAACATCTAACTACGTACCCAATTAAGGAAATACAAACCGACCGAACAACCCAAACTCAAACCGAACCAAACCAAACCCAAGTTTAGACTCAAACCATTCGGTTATATTTTTTTTAACCCATATGGATCGGTTCGGTTAAAAACCAATAACCCAATATGTTTCTTTAATTAATTAATTAATTATATTAATAATATTGTAAATAACTAAATATGTAATTCTTTTTATGGTATATTTGAATTATTCAATTTAAACTTAAAACTTGAACTTGTTGCTTAGTTTAATATATTATCAAATTCAAAGTTCAAAGGACAACGAACTAAATTTTTTTTGTTTTGATACATTAATTGATTTTATAAACCAAACTAAAACCGAATCGAACTAAAACCAAACTGAACCAAACCGAACCGAATATAAATTAATCCATACACAAACCAAACCAAACTAACTTCGGTTAAGTTTGGTTAGAATTTTACGAGACCCGAATAAACCGAACCGAATTAAATCTAAATGAACCCAAAGTTAAACCGAAATGCCCACCCCTATACGGTTATACGTAGCCACTGCTCCACCGGCGCCGAAAGAAGTGATTAGGTCTTTTGTCTCAATATTAGTGTCAATGAGCGTTTTTTAGCAGGAGATTAGAATACTATATGAATAGATCCACGAGTGATTAAAGCATTACTTTGTTACTAAAGCATTAAAAATCAGAAAGAAAAAATGTTGATGATCTCCCTTATATATTGGCGGTGAGTGACTATAACTAATATGAACAAAAAATCTCTTCCGATCAAGACCGCGAAATGAAATGACCAATGATAATTTGAGTCTCCTTCAATTATATCTTAAGGATTTCATGCGATCATTCAACAACCCCCGGATTAATTTGCTCCAATAGTATTCAAAAAGATGGAAAAAAGTTTATCATTCTTAGCACTATACATATTTGGAAATCAACCTAGCATTTTAGGTACCCTCACTTCGAGATCATTTGGTATAAACTTAATATATAATCATTCTTTCCGGTCCAAATATTGCGGACACATTGTTGGTTTTCTTCCAAACTTTTTCCGACGTCTTGTCCTAAAATATTGATTTTGTCCGACAAAAAAAAGGTGCATAGATCTAATTAATTAATGGAAACCCAATATTTCACTTTGAAATTCCGGTTTGACTGACTAGTGGTAGGATAGAAATAACTTGAAACAAAACAACAACACAACTTGGAAAGATTTTGATTCATATTCTCATAATTAGAAACAACTCGCTTGGACTACGTCGTCAAAAGTACATGAAATAATTGAACAATAGAGCTTACTAGACATTTAATATTTAATAAAATAAAGAATTTGAACTAATAGTTATCGCAATTATCACTTTAAAAATGTATAAAATTAACAAAATTTTGGACGAAATATCATTGAAATTATTAACTATATATGTTGCTCAAATTTTCTTTGAAATACTATGATATTTTACTTTTATCAGATGAAACATGCTAATTTTAAAAATAGCTACGCCAGTTACTTTGAGAAGATATATTATAGTATTTTCCTCATGTTATTATTTCTTAGTCTTCCAGAAAATGTAGTAGGTTTAACTTATCAAACACTTCAAGTAAGAAAATGAAATGCGTCTTTAATCAACGACGAATGTCCCGATCATTAGAACCTACCGTTCTTTGTTCATTTTACCTCTAATGTTTCCTACGAAGCTACCATTATTACGTATAACCATTTTTATATTAACAAAATATGTAAAAGATTGTTATAATCTGTTTACAGTTCCACTTTTTCAAATGTTAAGATATGCTCACTCGTACAAGAAATTACGACACATTTATCTCATCATATATATCATCTTCCGCGTGTATGATTGGGCAAACGTTTTTACTGCCAAAAATTATAGAAAATGTAGTTTATAAAACAAGCTTAAGCAAATTTGCATGATATAGTTTTCAGAAATCAGAACCATGCATGCATGTTAATAGAAAATACTCGCAAGAGAGCCTCTCAAATTACTTCAAATTTTGAAGATCCCATTCTATATAAAAAAAAAACTTTAATGAGCTTCTTTTTTTTGTTCTATGATTATTGATTGGGATCATTTTTGCATCTTAGATTTTACTTCTTTTATTTCCAATAAAAAATTTATATTTTATCTAGTGATGTGTAACTTTTTTAGTGTTAAATAATGACTCTTAATTTGATCATTATGAAGGTTGCAGGACAGACGACAACTGCAAAACTTCTTACAACGTGACGTAGTTTGATTAATTTTGATACATATTTGTTTTGGTACGTAATAGGTCCACCGATATGTGTGAACGTTAATCGCCACCGATGTGTGTGAACGTTAATCGATGTGTGTGAATGTATCACCTATATGCATAGACATTCATCAATATCCCAAAGTTAAATTTTTTTATCGTGTACGTATACTTTTTTTATCGATATATATCTATTTAATGCACTTTTATTTTATTTTATAATATAAAATTTGGAAAATTTGCACTATAATAATTTCTTTCTCCTTCATTTTGATTTTCAGAACAAAAATAACATGAATCAGTCATTTTATCCAAAAACATTGTTATTTTCTTAAGAGTTTTAAAACAAAAATGTTCCCGATATAAGTTTAGAAAAGTATCATCCCACTATAGAACGTTATTTAAATTGTAGTTTTGAAATTTTCGATTATATGAAGTAATACGATATTTTTATAATCTGAAAAAAAAATCTCATATAAATTTGTGGTGAGTGGGTCATTTGACCCCAATAATTTTTTTTTAATATTTTTATTTAAAATAATAAATAAGATAAAGAAAAGTTATCATGGAGTCATTAACCCACTCACCACAACCTAGCTGTGATTATATACTACCCGACTTACCATATTTCGTATACATGTCGACATTTATATCTTTTATAACAACATGTATATGAAATATCGATGAGGATGTGCCTTTAGTCAAGTGGTTAAATCCATCTGACTCCGCCTGCTCCACCGGAGTTCGACTCCACTAAATCGCGTTATCCCACGTAGTAGGGATTGGTTATGGATCGAGCTTTGTCGATCCAAAAAATGTCAAAAAAAAAAAGAAAAAAAAAGAAGAAATATCGGTAACTCATAAATCACTACTCCCTGTGTTCTTCATAGTTTGATGTTTTGGTTTTATATCTTGTTCCACAAAGATTGATGTTTTGTAGGAACATCATTATTACTTCCATTTGAGACCAATAGAAGGAGGAGAGAAGTATAATTAATATTATTAAACTAACAAAAAAATTAATAAAAAATATAAATTTTACTTTTTTTTAAATTGTATGAAAAACCCAAAACATCATTCATTAAGGAACAGATGGATTAGTAAATTACAAGTTGATATAAATATATGTACTTAATCGAGAAAGTGACACATTCATGGAAGAAAGGATTGATTTGATGCGGAATTCATGCTTGGTATGCTACTTGTAGCACACTTCAAGTATAATTCTGGTATTTTTACCGTACAAATTATCAATATAATTAATCTTTGATTTTGATTTCTAAATTGTCTTTATCTAAATTTAATAATTCTTTGCACAAATTTGCAAGCAACAATCTTTCGAGGTGGACACGTACCTGGTAGTCCAATCCCAATAGTAGTATCGACTTAGGTGGTTAATTAGTGACATATATTCCAATTTCTTAGCTAAATTTTGTTTTTAACCTATTTGGCTATTTTATGTTTTGACTCTTTGAACTCCTATGTTCCAATTTCCAAGTAGTTTTGTCTTGTTTTAGGTCTTTCCAGAAACATTAATTATCCTGATTTGAACATCTTCTTTTATTATATACTACTTCTTATTTTCTAATTAATCCAAGTGGTATATAACAAAACAAGATGTTCACCACTTGGATTAATTAGAAACATAAGTAGTATATAATAAAAGAAGATGTTCAAATCAGGATAACTACAAGTTTACTGTTCTAAATTAACTAGATATCAAGATATTAAATTACTAGTTTATGATTTCTAGTTAATTTAGAACGTAAACTTGTAGAATATATAAACAACCAGTAAAAATGCATGTAGAATAATATCATGCATGTCAGCAACCTCAAAAATTATCTTCACTATAAAACAAACGACCAACTGTCCAAACTTTATATATAGATGGAATTTTTTTTTTTTTTTTTTCGAATGCATTTTTAGTGTTACATGCATGTTTCTTTGCTTTGGTAAAAATGGTGGTTTCGATTGCTAGTCGGTGTACACCATCATATACATGATCAATATATATTAACACCTTTAATAGTGATAAATATATTCCGGTAGTGGATTGATTCAACTATCTCTTCTCTCAATATTTTGATTATAACCTTTTTCAAAAAAAAAAATATATATTTTGATTATAAACAAAATCTCTACCTATAGAGAATAAAACCCTAACCTGGCTTCCAATTTCAAAGCTGGTTTTAATTTCGACTACTTCACAGAATTGACAGGCCAACTCATTCACCTCCATTGTTACTTGGAGATTGAAGAAACTTTTGTAATTAATTGGTTCAGATTTGTTCATAGATGACTATAGTTTTTTTTTTTTTTTTCAATTATAGGCTTGACCCATCGAACATTATGGCCTAGACTTGAAATGTATTTCTCTTTTTCTCTTGCAATTTAATTCAAAAACATTTTTCAAAAGAAAAAATATCTATAGAACTTTACGCCGAAAATGCATTAGACTATATACGTAATTGTGTACAACAGTAACATATAGAAAAAGAATTAAATTTTTGAAAGATATATAGCAATCTTACTAGATTAGCAACATCATTAGGGGCATAACGTAATAACCCGTCCACATGGTGGTGGGCGGGTGGTTGGCGGGCCCAGGGGTGTTTGGGTGAAACTCCCTCTCCTCCGGATTCGACTCCTTCCCCCGCTGTTATCAAGATTATGTGGGAAATCTGTCAGTTGGGATTTGGCCCAATTGGTTTACTTGGTAGTCAGAAATGCAGGCGGCCTGACTACCCCCTGACACTTAGTCGGAAGGCACACCAAACTCGGGATAGAAAGAGTGGTAGCCCGAAGGACCTAGCCGTTAACACGGTGGACAAGTCCACTATGTAGCACCTCGGTGCGTTCCTACCGAGGCTGACCGGATAGCCGATAGGGTATATCAAAAAAAAAAAAAAACGTAATAACCCTTTTGAAGTAACTGTAGTAAAATAATTGCCTTTATCATTTAGATTGTTCCTATATGGTTACTCTTGAACTATTATAACACATATTTCAGAATAATGTTCCAACAATATATATAATACTCGTTTGGAGGACCAATTGTTCCGGCAAGCACAAAACCAGTGGTCCAGTGGGGATGGGAAAACGGCACAGCGTTCGACTTCTGCAACCGTTTACTTTCCATTAACCAAAACAGCATGTTTTCCTAACCTTTAGAAGTGAAACGTCACGGAGTGTTATAGTGATGATCACTTCGAACACACGCCTTCTATTATCACAACGATCATAAGCGAACAGTGTCAGTCTTTATTATTCCTCAGTTAATCCTGACCGTTCATTCAAAATTTGGATGACGTGTCCTTTCAAGGTAACTTTAACCCCTTCTAACGTCTTTTAACTAAAGTAAAAAAAATAAAAAAAGAGCGGATAAAAAATAGTGAATTATCTACAGAGAGAGAGAGAGAGAGCCATTTGGTGCGGAGGTGTTTTGGCGACAGAGCTTTTCTCTCTCTTCCGTACAAATGGCGCCGCCGAAGAATGTTGACGGAGAAGGAAAAGGAAAAGGGAAAGCTATAGCGAATACGTCGACAAGAGTGCTTCGAAGTATGGTTCGGAAGACTCGAAGCGATACTCAGCGAGAAGGTTCTTCTTCTAAGCTCGTGAAGCTCGAATCTCCAGAGAAGAAGAAACGGAAGACGACGAAAGCAAAGAGTGGTGGAGCAGCGAAGAAGAAGGTCAAGAAAGAAGAGGTAGCTGTGAAAATCGAGAAAGAGGATGAAGAATCTGCGGAGGAGGAAGATGATGATGCTGCAGAGAAAGAAGAAGAAGAAGAAGATGATGACGACTCCGAGAAGAAGAAGATTGTGATCGAGCATTGGTAAACGAAATGTCTTCCTTATTTTTGGTTTATTTGGAGAAATTTGGGGGGTAAATGTAGTAGCGAGTATTTAGGGATTTTGTTCTCCGATATTGAAGCTAATCTTTTGGTTTTTGTCTCTGTTTCGTTGGAAATTTCGTGTTTCTAGGTTTTTCTTTCTTGTTAGGGTTTCGTTCGTGAATCTGCACACATTCTTTTGTTAATCTTTGGTTTATTACACAATGTGTCATTCGCCTTTATGATTGATTCAATTCTTGTTCTGAAGAGGAATTGGTTTTGTGGTTTCTCTTCTTTGCTTAAGTTAAAATGCGATCGATTATCGTCTTTGATTATGGTTCTTAGTGTGTCTTGATTGTGATTGGTGATGTTAAAGTAAAGAAAACTTGATGTTATGTCTGATGTTTGTTGTTGTTTTCTTGAAGCAAACAATGCAAATCATTTAGGGAGAGGGCTAATGAGGTGAAGGAAGGTCTAGAGGAAGCTGTTCCTGGTATCATTGTGACTGTGAATCCTGATAAGGTAGTGAATCTTTGACTGCAGATGTATATATTTGTCCCAATGTGTGCATTATTAAGCTAATTCTTTCCTTTTTGATCTGCTTTAATAGCCAAGGCGTGGTTGCTTTGAGATTCGAGAGGAAGGTGGCGAAACATTCATCAGTCTTTTGGTAAGACTTTCACTCTCTTACATGAATGTAGTATGTCAATTAGTCGCACTAATGTGAGTGAGTTGTTCCAGTTGAATTGAGGTTTCTCGTCTTGTCCGTATCTGTTCTCATAACACAGTTTCTTTGATGATATACTTTAAAAAGTGAAAATCAACTTTATTATCTTAAGCACCCACAAAATTGATGCTATTTTTGATGAGTCAACTGATCACCAATAAGGTTTTGTGAGAGCATTCATAAAATGGCTTTTGGTTGTTTTCTTTTTGGTTAATCAAGTTGAGAGCTAAGTTGTTTGAAATAAGAACAAACTAGCAGATTACATTGTTAGTGACTAGGTGTACAATAAGAATATGTTTGCTTTCATGTTATTTATTTTTCAGAGGTATTTAGAAGATGATGTGACTTTCTTATGTAGGGTATGAAGCGTCCATTTACACCAATGAAGGAACTTAACATGGAAGAGGTCATTACGGACATCGTAGAGAAGATTAAATAACATTGCTAGTAGGCTCTACCAATGCCGAGTCTTTTGTTTCTTCCTTGACCCTCGGCAAATAGGCTTCAATATCTGACTATCTAGAGCAACTGCAGGATTTTTTAGTCTTAATTTTGATATATTGGTGAAAACCATTTAAGCACGGTTTCGTCATTTGGCAGTGCTTGATCGGCTTTGTGCAGTTTCTTTATGCTAAAACTTACTGATATATTTGGGATTAAGTCTGTCTTCGTAATGCTAGTTTGAAGCAATTCGTTTCACTTGTTGTTGGATTGCGTTTGGCGTTAATTATGTTATGGATTGGATGAATGAAGATAAAACATTTAGTTACAATTTGGTAATACAAGTTTCACAGGACAGAACATCACACTTTCATTGCCTAATGATAAATGATTGAGGTACAATAATGTGAGTAGAAATTGTTAGTCTTTTTGATCCACTTCATATCACCATGCCTCTGACTATGGTCGAGTCTCATTATCAGTTTATCTTATCCTCAACTCGCTCTGATTTAAACCATCTTAGAACCCAACAAAGCTAGCCACAAACCCGAGAACGAGGACAGCACCGAAGCTCAAACCGGCGTTAGAAGCAGAAGAAGGTGGTTCAGCCTCATCAGCTGCAGCCATCTTCTTCTTGCCAGATTGCTCTGGAGCCGGAGCTGGAGAATCATCTGATGGAGCAGATGCAGGTGCAGTTTCTGGGGCTGCACCAGGAGGAGCATCTGCATAATCCTCTTCCTCAGCTGGTCCAGGAGCTGGAGTGGCTGCACCCTTCTTGGGAGATGGGGCTGGTGGTGAAGACATGGGTGGTGGTGGAGGAACCTTAACCGGAGACCCGAGTCCAGGAGCCACAATGGGCATGCTGATCTGGACCACAGAGAGATTGTACGGGTTACGGAAAACAGTTGTGATGTATTCAGCGGTTTGAGGAGCGCCTTTCACACCAGAACCAAAGTAAATCTTTCCGTTAGATTTGGTGCAGTTGAGGAAACCGTTTTGCTGTTGGCCCAAACCGGTGGACTGGTAAAGGGTAGTGAGCAATGTGCTCCTTTCCTTGAGAGCCTTGAGCTTAAGCTCATCAAAGTAGTCAAGAATCACATGGTTCATAAGAATGTTCTTGAGCTCTTCCTCGGGTCTACCAGAGATGGAACCGATGGCATCATTGCTAAGAGCCAGCACGGTGATGGTCTGACGTTTGTTGATAATTGGTGTGAGCTCGGTCTTGGCAAGAAGCTCGGTCATGGTGCTGAATTCAGGGTATTTCTCGAGCACTCGGGTTATGTTAACCGCTGATACAATGGAGGAAACACCAAGTAAGATGGTGAGACAGACGAGAGAAGAGGAGACCTTGAGACCCATCTTTGGGTGTTTTTGTTTATTACCCTTATTTTTTCTATAATAAAAGCTCAAACCTCAAAGCCTGAGTTTGCAATAAGAGGATCAGGTTGGGTATATATACAGACCTTAAGAGCAGCTCAAGATTAATGGTGGAGAGACATTTACTTATATTTGTTTTTGCTAAATTTGAACTTGACTTTATTGTTACCTCTATATTTGGCGTTAGACTGTTTTATGTTTTACCTTTGGTTTTGAGGTTTGAGATACTGAGATTTGTTGTTTTTCACAATGAATGATGAGATGTTACAACATAAAATAGGTGGAATTAATATAGAGTCAACGTAGACAAGTCCATCCTAATCTTTATTTAGTCAATTCTTCAACAACTTGAGGTCCTAAGCTCTAATCCAGAAGTAGTAACAGGGTCACAGGATGCACTTTTTGGGGTTTGAAGCTCAAGCACATCATGTATATTTCGCGGTAATTGAATGTGTTCTGCGCATTATTTATTTAGGTCAAAGATTATAGACCTAAATAAATAGTCTCATGGCAAAAAAAGCTAAAAACATAGAAGCATATTCAGAAACGATCTTCAGTCCATCCGCTCAAGAAGCACCAAAGCTAATGAAGTTAGATGAAGTGATAACGAATTTGTTGTTCTTTCTAGATCAGATGGAAAAGTCGAAGGGCGAATGCAAATTGTCAAAACAGAAATTACATATACAATAGTAAACTGATACATAATCAGGCCACACTGATCCATAGATTTTGAAATTTTATATAGTTTTGCTTATGGAAAGATTGTGATGATTTCAAGATCTCGAATTATAGTAATAAATAGGGAAACTTAAAGTACTGTATTATCCATTATCTTAAACACAATTACACTTTTACACAAATAGCAATCACAACATAGGCCTTAAATTAGGTGATGGGAAATCCTGCTCCTTTTGGCATGATAATTGGACTCCTTTCGGATAGTTGCGCACATTCCTAGGAGCAGATATGAACACGGGCTACTTGGTCTTCCGCTGGAATCAACAGTACCTCAAGCAAGATCATGGAACTGTTGGTTATTTGTGTTGAGATTTGCTCTAGTACAATTTAGAATCCATTTCTCTTATACAAGATGAGTACACGATTCAATGGGATCAGCTTATCCACATATTGACGGACCTCGGTCAAAACTCAGCAGCTTCGTCATTCGCTACACCTTCCAAGCTACAATTCATAGTCTTTGGAGGAAACGAAACGGTCCGCTTTTACAGTTTTTATTTATTTATTATTTCTTAAAATATAGTATTATAAAAAGTATTAATTACAGATTTCAGAAATATTTTGGTGGAATGGTTAAGCTATAAACCATACAATAATACGACGACAAAAAAAAAAATCATGGGGTTAGCTTTTAATTAATATGTAGTTGTTTAAAAAAAATAAGGCAAACAATATAAAGTTTTTTTAAGCAAAAGGAAAATAAGCTGACAAAGCTTGCTTTAAGAGGAAAAAGGAAATTCTGAGAAAATAAACGAAGAAAAAATAAAAATAGGCAACAATAAAGCTTTAAAATAAAATAAAAAAACATCAGGGCAAATGCAGAGTCTTGCACTACAATCAAGAATATCCTCCATCAATATGAACAAGCATCAGGGCAGAAGGTTAATACAAGCAAATCGGCTTTGAATTTTGGTAAATGGGTTTATGAAACTACCAAGACCTTTATTAGAAGGCTGATGCAAATTCACAATGATAGTGGCACTACAAGAATATTGGTTTTTAATAGCATTACAAGATAGCGTTTTATATATTTTTGCTATAATTGACTTACCTATGATTTATTTATAGCGTTTCTAATTTTAGAAACGCTATGATATGTTACCCCGTAAAAATCAAATTTTAAGCGTCTTTTTTTTTTTTATCAGCAATAGCACATATACATTCAAAACGCTATCAAAGGAGTAGCCGCGAAAAATTATTCATAGCCCGCCAAAACAAAATTTGGGCTCCAAAAACATTTAACCTAAAAATATTTAGTTCAGTTATTAAAAAAAGGGGAAAAAACCCGAAAAATACCCCATCTATTTTTAATTTGGACGTTTAATACCTAATTTTTTTTTGTTGGAAGAAAAATACCTTCTTTAATTATAATTGGTCGAAAAATACTTTATCTTTATATTATTGGTAAATTCAAACCTCTGATTTAACGGTCGTTAACGGACGTTACGGTATCAGTAAACGACGTTATATTATAACAAAACAAATAGCCGAAAAATGCTTCATCTATTTATTTTTTGATTTTTAATACCCAAACTTTTTGGTTGGAAGAAAAATACCTCATTTAAATATATTTTTGTCTAAAAATACCTCATTTTTGAATTGTTAGTATATACAATATTTATACAAACATTTACAAATATATTACTTGATCTAATGGTAACACATATGATTTTTAACCCTCATAGAACTTCTTTTGATCTCCTATTTTCTTTAATGAATGACATACAAATTTAAATACATCATTTGCTTCACTCCTATAAATTTAAATACATCATTTTTCATTCCTAAAGGCATCGTTGGAGTTAGAAGGGTTTTTGCAACTAACAAATGAGAGATTCTGCAAATTTAAATACATCATTTTGATGATGGAATGTAACGATTCTGCAACTAACAAATGAGAGATTGTGACAAAGATGACGACGACGATAGATTTGTCATTTTTGTGGTCGTGGAGTAGCATAGTTGCGGAAGTGGAGAAGAATTTAGGTAAAAGTGGAGAGATGAAAGAAATGGTTCGAGAAAGATTGAGTTTTGATCGTATTAACGAAGTAATATTGAGTTTTGATCACACCAATATATTTGTAAAATTTTGAAAATAAATTGTATATATCTATTTATATAGACAGGGTTAATATTTAACATCGTTAAATGTTTCTGTAATATTATTAACGATTGTTAAGTCGCATACTTGAATCCACTAATAATTTAAAATGAAGTATTTTTAGACAAAGATATTTTACATGAGGTATTTTTCTTCTAAACAAAAAGTTTGGGTATTAAAATTCCAAAAATAATTAGATTGAGTATTTTTCGGCTATTTTTCTGTTATAATTTAACGTCGTTTACTGATATCGTTATGTCCGTTAACGACCGTTAAATCAGATGTTTGAATCTACCAACAATTTAAAAATAAGGTATTTTTCGACCAATTATAATTAAAGAAGGTATTTTTCTTCCAACAAAAAAAAGTTAGGTATTAAACGTCCAAATAAAAAATAGATGAGATATTTTTCGGGTTTTTTCCCTTAAAAAAAGAAAAGAAGTTTTATACTATTTCTTTCTCTCTTTGTTTCTTCTTCTTCCGTAAGCTTCTTCATCTTCTTCCAACTCTCTGTCTCCTTCTTCCTCTCTTTATGCTTCTGTACAACTATTGAATGTAGACCTACAGATTCTTCTCTAAATATTCTTCTCTAAATATTGAATTTAGACCTACAGATTCTTCTCTGTAGGTCTTCACCACATTTCTGTAATGAGCATTGTTGACAAGACACGTCGGCGATGGTGGTAGCTTCCCGTTTGCAGGAGCTTTGCACAAGTCTCAGATTTTCTCCACTACTATCTATTTGCCTTGTTCTTGTGGTATGGTTTGTGTACTTCATTGTGGGTTTTTTATTTATTAATTTGATTGCTTTGAACTTCGGATGTTGTATTATTTGGGATGTTGTATGTTTTACAATAATATTTTATGTTTCGTTTATTTGCTATATTGACTGTCTACCAGAACCCAGAAAGCACAGGAAATACAAATTACTAGAAACGAATTATATATGCATTACAAGAAAATAGAACAATGACAAATTATATTAATGCTATGAAATGAAATCATTAATAACAAAGAGACAGTGCTATTGTAAAGTATACGATAGTAGAGATAAATTTGCTATTAATATTTGAATTTAGATAGCATATACAAAAACCGCTATCTAAAGTGGGTGACCTATTAT